TCTTCCACCGATCCTCTCCAGCGATGACTAATAGCAATGTGGTCTATCTGTGTCCATCGCTGAGTCGAGCTCGGTGGACGCCAGGTCAGACAGTGCCTTTCTTTATGTCTGAAATTTGTGCTGGCTAAAAATAGGCGGTTATCTGAGCATAGTTGTAATAGGCGATCACCGTTATCTGTACGTTCAGCTGGGATTCCGAAAGTGCCACCTAAGTGCCTTTCTGCCTCACTCAGTCTACCCACCTGTGCGTTGAGGTCACCTGCAACAACCACTACGTCCGAACGTTTGGCTTTCGAGAGGAGGTTAGACAGTTTATGGTAGAACTCGTCCTTCACTTCATCCGACTCAGTCAGTGGGTGCGTAAGCAGAGATTACAAAGAGACAACGGCGAGTCTCACTATTCCTTTTAGTTCTCACTGTGCCGTTCAGCCTCATAGCGCAGAGGCGACTATCAACTGGGATCCAGTCTAGTAGTGAGTTTTCTGCCCTGGTGCTTAATGCTATACCTACACCTGCAAGACCACGAGAGCTAGCTATCGAATCTCCAGAAACTCGAAGGGTGAATTTTGCAGATTCACCAGATTGGTCAGGAGAGGTCAGGTGAATAACCACACTTGGGTCCTGTATGCGTGTCTCACAAACACAGCACACATCCATGCCCGAGTTGCTAGAGTCTTTGCCAACGAAGCCTGTTGGCCAATTTGACGGAGGGTGCGGACATTGAAGGCTCCAATATGTAATTTGGAGCGTGGTTTAAGGAGACCAGGGACTGTTCTGTGGACTCAGATCGTTGTCGAAGGCTGCAGAGGTAGGAGAAATTGAAGATGATGCAGCATCATTAATTAAGAGACGTGAAGGAAGATTAGAAGGTAATGATGGAGGAGGATAGCAGTCAGAAGAAACTTGGGTGCTGACAGAGTTGTGAGGGCGGTTGACACTTCCCGGCTGCCCACACCGTGGAAGGCTATTTCTTCTTAAGGTACCTGAAAGAGATTTGTGTGACTAGCTCGTTGGGTCATTGTGATATGCAAGCCCGACCACCACGTCAAGGTAGCAGCTATCGTCGGGCGTTAGGCAGCAGAAGTCACTTTAAATCATCGTTTTATGCTGGAAAGTTGGGGAGAAATTAAGATAAAGCACTAACTGATAAGACAAATGACTACTGTTCCAAGTGATGTAGGGAAGCATAGGTTTACTGGCATATTCGAGATGTTGAGAACCAGTGATCTGAAGTCCTAGGTGATGGGACAGAAAAATGGAATGGCTGAAATTCAGTGAGATTTTTACGTTCATTTAAAGCTTAAATAATTTCTACCTCATATTTATTTGTCACTACTGACTAATCCATCTGTTATTTATTAAAAAAATTCTCTATTGGTGGTAACTTTTCGTAGTTCTTTTTTGAACTTTGGCAACTAGGAATAATCACTTTCAACAAAATTCTGCGGTAATATTCGGTCCAAGAGATTACTGTATCCCCTCACCAACTGCATTATTTTATCGCACTCGTACTCAGCTACTTTATGCACATTCGTAGACAATGAGCCACACCTGTCGTATGAGGGCTAGTAATATTACTTGGTTGCCCAAACCTCGGCGAACTGGGCTCGAACCTGTGACCCTATGGTTGGTAGTCATCCACCCAAACCACTGAGGCACGGCTTTATCTTACTGGCACTTTTATCCATTTACGCACGTCTGAAAAACTACTCTCCTGAATGCAGTGATCGGTTTTGAGTGATAGATGGAAATACTGGCTACATCACGGAATATTTCATTGGAACCTTCGCATATGTAGCTTCTCTGGTGTTTTGTCAACAGAGTTGCTGTTTGGAACCATTACCGAATAAATCCCTTAATATTACTTTTTTAGTTTTAATTGCATTGAATCACTTATACGACCCGTTGCGTAATACTAACAGTGACAAGAAACCAACCCATTTTTTAATGACTAGTTAGACCTAAACAGTAGATGTCTACATCACAAATAAATCATTAGGAACAGTACAGAACCAGGTGATACTATTTTCATTGTAGAGGAAAGTGGATACACATATCGAATGTTTCCATTGAAATTTTCAAGACGAGTACAATTGAAACTCTTTAATAAAGCCTTTTAACAAGTTTGAAAGTTCACCTTCAGGTCACATACATCACACATTAGATGAGTAGCTGACAGTGATCGGAAATTGAAACCATGAGCTAAAATACGCCTACTCAGAAAATGATGTCTGTGCAACATGAAGATATTAGGTTTCATCATTCAAAAAGATATGAAAAGCGATTTCATTATTATATGCCATTATATGTCTCCATACAATGCAGCTCACAAGTTAATGTATACATGTTTACGGTCTGTAGGTCACACTGCACCGCTTGTTCATTCTTCCTAGTGCTATTAAGAGTACTATCAGCTAATGGAAGGCAAAGTGGGGATAGATGCCGTTATTAAACGGGTCATCCGAACTGTGAATCTGTAAAACTCTACATCACCAGCTCACAACTCATTTCTTCATCAAGAATGAGCCAAGATTGTTATAACTGCCTCGTGATTTTTATTATTTATGATCTCCGCTGAAACGGAGAGGCGCATGAATGTGAAACATGATTCAGTAGGATACAGACTTAAAACGTCCTAACCAACCACTGTTTGAGTTGTAGAAGACAAAAGGGATGAAATATAACTCGGAAGCTACTAATAGGTTGGAAAAATAAGTCATGGGTAAAACAGAAGTGGGATAACGAAACACTAAAAACAGCAGAAAAATACGACTAAGTTATTACGCATTTCAGCTTTCGATAATCATGATGAAAATAACTGTCTCTAGAGCCAGCTGAAGATTAAAACACCACAAACCTTGAGTCATGAACTCCTGCTATTACGCGAAACATACTTAGAAATATTAGATTCAAAATTACAACTTGTATCACCGATCTGTAACCGTATCAGCATAACAAAATTTCTCCAACATTAACTTCACGCAAGTTAGTACCGCACACCAAAGTCCAGCATACAGTATGCGTGACTTACATTATAACCATATCAGTCTACGCAGGTTTATGAACTTATCTACTGATTCACTTTCCTACCAAGAACTGCCAACGACATATTTTCAAGTCCCAATGTCTTTAAACAGTTCGCTAGACGGTGCGACAAAAATATTCACACGGTATTTCGAACCCTCCTCCATAAGAGCATAAAGTTGGTATAGACAGTGAAATAAGCCTTCTAGCTTGCTCTAACAAGTGATTACCCAAATTTAACACTCATTTCTATCATTTGCACTGACTTCAATTAATAATAATACGTGGATGACCGGTACTCAGTCACAAGAATTTGAAAAGGCTTTTGACACTTTTCAACTAGGATAGAACAATTGAAATGCATCTTATATTTTATTCCTGGTCAGATATTTTGAGATGTGCTGGTAAGAAAAGTAAGTTGTCCCTTCGAAGATTTGAGAGTCAGTTTCCCATCTTTTTGATTTTTTGTAAAGATCATAGAAAGCACATCAACGTGCATAGGTCTGTGAAAGTACGTAACGTGTATACAAACCGAACGCAGACGAAAATACACTAAATTACTCTGTTGAAAATCCTGCACCGAATTTTCCTTTGTTTCTTCTTGCTGCAAAAACTGCATGGGCAAATATAGATAGCGTACATGGGGTGCGTACTAATCACTAATATGTATTATACTATGTTCAGAAAGGAGGATTCCCCTCAATATCATTAACTGACAACGACGTGTGACTCATCCGTCATTTATCATTACTGCAAAAAGAGTACTAAACACAAGAGTCAATGTGAAAATGTGCAACAAAGGTAAAACGAAAGCCAGTGTAAAGAGGGCAAGTTACATCAAATACAGTGTTAAACTAAGAATAGTCTGCTACAGCAAAATCATACTGTCGATAGAAACATAAGTACCTAAGTAAACATTTCTACACAGCCAAAACTTGTAGACGTTCACATTTACCTCGAAATATCAAGAAGATACGAGGACAGGGAAAATCAGATGATTGTGTTGAATCTCCAAGGCCATCTGAAAAATATGTCATTTGTATTTGACACACTCTGAAAATTGACATCCTACACGCGATAACCGGTTGAATTTATGAGGAAACCTATTTGTTGAACCACATTTCCACCTCTTTTTACTTGAACAGAGACAATGAAGAATACTGGAGTAATTCATGCAATTCTTGCTAATTTTTGATGACATGAGTTGTGAGCTGGTGATGTAGAGTTTTACAGATTCACAGTTCGGATGACCCGTTTAATAACGGCATCTATCCTCACTTTGCCTTCCATTAGCTGATAGTACTCTTAATAGCATTAGGAAGAATGAACAAGCGGTGCAGTGTGACCTACAGACCGTAAACATGTATACATCGTGTACGGAAATAGTGTTATTTTCTGAAAATGCATAAAGTAAGAGAAATGTGCTCGGCACCGATTTGCCTTACACTTAAATATCTCCTAACCTCGAGGTCTGGTGGATTAGAATTCCGTCAATGATTTCGAATTTTGACAGTCTGTGGGGTTTCTCTAACTCAAGTGTCACCTAATAATCTTGGAACTTTGAGAAGTGAATTAGTTACTGCAATCAAAAAAGTACCATGAAGTGGTAAGTGCGCCCAGAAACTGAAACTTGTTACCCTTACTGTGGAATATTCATTCCGAAAAGTTAAGATTCACAGACTGCCGAAAATGATCAATCCGAAGCATTCTTGGGCTAAATCTTTCTGAATGGCAGAAGTGAATTTTGTTTGAACAGAATAAACTCTACCAGAATACCTATCGTCTGTAAAACCTTCAAACAACACAAAATGCATGAACCTAGTGATTCGAGCAGGGCTTATTCGTTCAAAGCAGTGAAATATTAGAAGCAACGAAATATCTCACCTGACTAAGAATCATATGACACAATTTAAAGTTGGTTAAAGATGTCAAAACTGCGAATCAGAAGCAGAAAGAACACAACTGTAACCACTCACCAATATTCGCGGGAACAATCAACGAAATTTACAAACTAGGCACTCCAACTGACATGTTAGGTTAGACTCCGTCAGAGAGTTATAACAACTTAAGTCTGTTAGGTGAATGCAGTTTTCACTTTTGATGTGTTTGTAGGCTCATTTCAAACATTGGCTGTTCACTCAAACCAAAAACAGTTGTAATTTCTTTTTACGTCAAGAACAACATACTGCTTCCAAATGTTGAAACTCACAACCAAACAAACCAGTATTGTCCCTTTTTATATTTATGCACGGTATTCCTGTTTCAGACATAGCCGCGGAAAAGGCTATCACTTGTTACTTATTTAAAAAGTCATGGAAACTTGAGTTTGTGTGAGTGCAGATTATCACAGAAAAACTCTTTGGCTTTGTGGCGTGACTAAATCCACCCCGCTACTTCTTGTGAATAGAAGCATACCTCTATCTTGGGTGGTTTCCTTAAAAACTACGTCTTGGTGCCTGTTTAGCCCCTCAAATGGAGCTGGCGGTACTGTTTCTTTTTCCTATGAAACTGAAACCTGACATGTTTCTCTCCAGACTAGCTTAACATCAGTGCTACTGCCGCCTAAGATGCTAACACCTGAGGGCATCCACTCCAAAAGTCTTAATTTCCACGTTAAACCGCGTATTGCATGTATTACATGACTATTTGTGAGCAGTAACATGATCTCGTGCACTACTGTTACGTTTTACAACAGATTTGCGGAATTTTCGAAATTATAAACTTAATTCATTCTCTATGGCTCAATGGGCGTGTTCCGTAGTTCACTTCATTCACTTATTCCAGAATTAATCGACATCAGCAAACGTTTTGCACATACCAGCTAAACCCTGAGTAATCTGCATGAGGTAGTTCGCAGTTTCTGTATATCTATATTCTAAGTATAACCTATACTCCACATTGATGCTGGCCTAAATATCTTCAGCGAAATTATGTGGCTGAAGGTGTGTGGCCAGTCATCTAAGTCATTCTGCATATTGTGATAATATTATGAGCCCCCGTAGCCGTTCGACTCACTCGTCTACGTATGTTGGTACGACTTGATGAATGCTGGTGCGTAGCTACTCAACAGTGCTCTTTCTTGGGGTCCCACCCGTTGGTATGTGACAAGCATAACTGATAATGTGTTGGTCACCGCGTCTTTTCAAACTTTAAGCTTCGTGCTGTAGAATTAGTTAACGGTGGCCGCTTGAGCTCTATGCCTGTCTTACTGCGGTATGTTCTTGATTTGGAATAGTGACAATTGTCTTCGAAGTCATGAAAAGCCGGAAGGAACGAGATAATCGATTACTGCTTGGTCTGCTCTCTATGGGTGGTCCATCTTCTGATCTATAGATGAATGAAGGTTTCTGGAGCACACTTCATAATACTACAGGACTTTAAGTGTGTATAGGACATCCCTCTGAAGTTATCAGGGAGCGAGCTACAAGAGTTTCTGTAGGAAGAGAGCTCCCCAGCTTACAAACGCCAACTGTAAACGGGTCACCATGACTCAATATACGTGCTCTCTCATGCTCTACTTCCAGCGCTTGGCCTCTTTGGTGTCGTTTCCGATTAGAGGTTAAGGGGAATCCGCTAGGATGAAGGGGATTGTAGGTGATATGATGAGTCATGCTTTTATTCCCCCTGATCCTGCAGTATTGTACTGACTACTGCTCAAGAGCAACTAAGCGATCCAGGTAAGGTTGGTGCCGTAATTCAACTACTCTTTTCGTAGCTCTTCTCTGAGGCCATTTCAGGATAGTAATATCTTTCTTCGAGTATAAGGATATCGTGAGCCAGTTTTTTCTGGGCGAGAAGGGATATAAAACCCATGCTGCAAGGAAAACAGCCTGAGTTAGCCTCGCTAAAGGGCATGAAGGGAACTGTAGGACTGCTCCGGCCCTGCTGGGTGCAAGATGACAATGGACCATGGCTCCAAGTATGTCACTTAAAATAACTCTGATCTTTTTCGGGGTATGAGTGGCCCATGGTTACTTCACTCAGTGAACAGAAGCTGCAGCCGTTTTGATATTTGTCAGCTATGATTGTCACACACTTTGCTGCGTTGAGGGGGGGCAGGTTTTTACCGGTCCAATTTAGGATTTTAGAACGGTTGATCGGAGGATCGAAGGATTCTTTGGATGCGCATTTCCTTTTGGCTCATCAGATTATTAGCACATAGTGGTGAATGAGAATGGAGGAATCCTGGTGGTTCACTGATAAAAAAAGAAACAGTAGTAGATAGAGAATGTAACCCTGAGGCACGCCACCCACCATGGGGAACCAATTAGATACAGACGAGCCAACCACAACTGCTCGCCCGGTGTAAAGATGATCTCCAAGCCAACTTAGTGATTTTCTGTAAGCTCCTACAACCCGAAGCTTCGTACACTGTCAGGGGTCTTGGAAAATTCAAGTAAACCAATATGAGTGGGTTGTTTATGCTCAACGCAGAGTCCAGCTACTCCAAGCTATCAACGGGTTGGTGTTACATAGCCTACCAGGTGAAAACCCTTGTTGAAGGTCAGTTACCATAGAATTCCCAAGTGGATAATTGCGAAACGAGTCATTTATCACTCTTTCGATAAATCCCGCTACCGAAGGGATCAGGGAGACTGACCCGCAGTTGAAGGAGAATTTTTCGTTTCCACCTTTATTTTCTAGGACGATAGCCACCCATTTTCATCCAGGGGTAAACACAACCTTTAAAAAAGAGTAAATGAAGCGGTTTGCTGGCGGGGCACTAACAGCGTTGGCCTACTCTTTGAGCGCTCCTGGGGGGAACGCCATCAATTCCCAAAGACTTATTCCTATCTAAGTTCCTTAAAATTCCCTTAATTATAACCTCACCCGGTTGACTGGTTCACTAGTCACTAGTCGGTACTAAGCCCGAGTAAAGAGAGAAGGTTGGGCATGGGGCTAGCAACCCTACCCCGTAAAACAAATCTAACCGCTAAAGAAACTTCGAAGCGCAAAAAATAAAAACAAAATTATTCCTCGCTGGAATCGGAGAGGCGAAATGACGCCGGTTGGCAAAATCCTTCAGGAAGCCAATTGGCCGCTGCATCTTCTCTCGATGAAAGCGAAAGTAAACGTGGGGACATGGAATGTACGCACCATGTCTGAACCCAGCAAGGCAACCCAGATTGCAAACGGGATGGGAAGTTATCACACTGAAGTGCTCGGAATTTGCGAAAGCAGATGGAATGGAAGTGGACCCTCCTAACTGTCAACTGGAGAATCAATAATCTACTCCGATATTGTCACCCAGACGACAACCACGAGCACACAGAGTTTTGGAATGGCTATCATGATGTCCCCAACAGTATCGAGGGCTTTCTCTTATGCAGTGGGAACCAATCTCCTCCAGGAGCAGTATCATAACCGCAAGGTTCAACTCAAGAGGAAGGAAGGTCACAATCATACAGTGCTACACTACGCACCTACAAATAATGCAGATGAAGAGGAGGAGGAATTCTACAGACAACTGCAATCAACACTGGACCAGACCTCAGCTGACGATATCAAATTCATTTTGATGGCCAACATGAATGCCAAACTGGGGGCGGACAACACAGGAAGAGAACTAACCATGGGCCGGGAAGCGCCCGGTGAGATGATGAACGAGAATGGAGAATTGTTTGCAGAATTCTGTGCATTCAAAGATTTGGTGACTGGAGGCAGTGTGTTCAAGCACAAGGATATCCACAAAGCGACATGGATTTCACCAGATGGACACACCACAATCAAAATCAGATCGACTTCATGCCAATCTCAAGAAAGCCTAGACGCAGCCTACTTGACACAAGGTGAAGAAGGGGAGCAGATGTAGGTCCAGACCACTACTTAGTGCAAGGAACCTTCCAAATCAAGTTAAAAGCCTTCAAGAAGGCTGGTGATAGACCTCAGTTCAAGTACAACACTCGGAAACTGAAGGAAGAAACCATAAAGGACATCTTCACGGCATCCAATAAGACAAAATGGGAGATATCGAGGAACATGCCTGAAGAAACCTTTGTGGGAGAACACTGGAAGTCTTTGAAAGAGATGTGGAAAGAAACCTGCACAACAGTATTAGGAAGGAAGAAGAAAGAAGACAAGGAATGGATCTCGACGGATACCTGGAAGCTGATAGAGGAGAGGAGGATGGTGAAGCAGAAGATAAACCAGTGCAAGGATGCTCAACGAGAAGAGGAACTTAGCACAATGTATAAAACACTGGACAAAGAAGTGTAGAAGAATGCACGCAAAGACAAAAGACACTTCTACGAAACATTGGCAAGTGAAGCAGAACAGGCTGCAGGTAGGAGAGATAGAGACCTGACAACATTGCATCAAATAACCAGGTTGCTATCTGGGAAGAGACCAACTCAGATAAAACCAATAAAAGATGATGACGGAAACTTAATCACGAAAGAAGAGAAACAAAGGAAACAACGGGCCGACCACTTTAAGAAGCTCTTGAATCGACCACCACCTGCATTTCTCCCGGAAATTCCACCTACAGCCGCTGAACTACGAGTGAACATAAATCCTCCAACAAAGTTGGAAGTCCCAAGCGTCACAAAGCCACTGAAATGTGGGAGAGCAGCAGGACCAGATGGGATACCGCCAGAAGCACTGAGAACAGACGCAGAGACAACAGCGGACATTCTCACACCACTATTGCAGAAGGTCTGGAAGGATGAGAAGGTACCTGGCGACTGGAAGAAGGGTTACCTTGTCAAACTGTCGAAGAAGGTAGACCTCAGTGTTTGCAAGAACTGGCGCGGAATCACACTTCTGTCCGCATCAAGCAAAATATCAAGCCGCATCATCCTGGAGAGGCTTAAGGATGCACTGGGTTCAAAACTATGACCGGAACAGGCTGTCTGGATTCAAGAAGTACAAATCATGTGCCGACCAAGTTGCAACGCTTAGCATCATCATAGAACAGAGTATAGAATGGCAGTTAACTCTACACCTCAACTTTATCGACTTTGAGAAGGCTTTTGACAGCGTCGACCGACAAGTAATTTGGCAGTTGCTTCAACACTACGGAATACCACAAACATTTATCAACCTCACTCAACAACTATATGAAGATGCCACATGCCAAGTACTTCATAATGTGAAGCTCAGTGATGCTTTCGAAGTGAAGACAGGAGTAAAACAAGGCTGTCTACTATCACCCATTATCTTCCTGATTGTGGTAGACTGGATCATGCGGCGCACCGTGAGGAGCGAGAAGATGGGCCAACGCTGGCTGGACCGATGAAAAGACCCCAGAGGAAGATTTGGATTTCGTCGATGACTTGTGTCCAATGAGTTGTCGCACAAACTTGAAGATCTACAGGCGAAAACTAACCAGTTGGTAGAAGAGGCAGCGAAGGTAAGACTTCAAGTGAACGTAGAGAAGACAGAGGTGATGAAGATGCCTAACCAAAGCCACCAACAACAACAGACACCAATCACCATCAGCGAAAGAAACTTAAAGGAAGTAGCCTTCTTCACCTATCTGGGCAGCACTGTTTCAACTACAGGCGACACAGACGAGGACGTCAAAGTCAGGATCGGAAAACCAAGACAGGTGTTCATTAGCCTGAAACCAGTGTGGAGGTCTACTGCACTCAGCATGTGGGACAAGATTTGGATTTTAAACACCAACGTCAAGTCAGTGCATCTGTATGGTTCGGAGACTTG